TACATTTCCTCTAATTCTGAAAATAGTTGAACATAGATATGCTTAATATTACTGATAAAAATATGCCAAATATGATTCTAATTATTTTATAGCAGAAGCAAAAAATAACAGTTTTGGAAATGACTGAACAATTAAGAGTCTGAGTGAGGACATTCGTCACTGAGAATCAGGTTCCTTCTCACTTCCTGAGTTTTCTTATGAGCTCGTTGATGAAGAGAAAGTGCCTCCTGATTTCCACTCTGACAATCTCCCAGGCACAGTCACTGTATTTCTTCTCTTTCAGGTACAGATGGAGTCCCCGGAAGTACCTCTTCAGGGCCAGTGTAGGGCCCACAGTTCCCAGGGCAGATTCTTCCTCTCCCATCTCCTGCACCAAACAGGTGTCCAGGTCTTCCAGCTGCCGATGGAGTCCAGTGCAGAGGTTGTCCAGGAGGGTCGTGTTCCAGGCAGCAGAGGAGCGCTCTGTGTGGAAGAGGTCGAAGATCTGCTGGAGCATCTCGTGGAGGACAGAGATGGCCCGGGCCTTCTGGAACTGGCTGCCATCCAGCTTCTCCTGAGGGAATTTGAAGTCGGTCCTATACTTCAGACAGAAAAGAAGAGAGATTGTCTTCATTTGGTCCAGAGCTGTGAAGGTCTCCTGCTTTCTCAAGTCAAGGCTCTGAGGCAGGTAACAGCTAGTGGAGGAGATGGGGCTGGAGAAGATCATCACCAATGCCATCAGTGAAGAGACTGAAAAAGCCATTGGTAAGATCCAAGAAGACACTCTTCTGGTTGAGATGGGAGATTGTGAGGTTTGTTCTAGCTTCTCTGAGGATCTTCTGTCTGTGTGCCTCTTAAATATTGAGCACAAGTGTTTTCATTTTCTGAATTTTCCCCAGATCTTTGTACTTCCCCATTTTGGACTTTCCTTTCTCTTCAAGAGCCTGGAAAGTTGTCATTACTTTCAACTCTTTCTGTATTCTTACAATTGAAGTGAAATTTATTCAATAAAAGATTAGAAGTCCTAATTCAAGGGAATTCTTATCCTCTTAGCAAAAACTAACTTTGAACTAATGAGAGAGCTATCTGGATCTTTCTTCCTGATGTTCAGAACAGCTTCTAAGGAGGCTTTGCTAGGCTTCTTTTTGTATCTTCTTTCTACCCACCCCTAGGTATCCTTCTTGGAAGTGTTGATCAGGTGTGAAACATACCTCATCTTTATATGCATAGATCTCACCTTATTCTCTGCTGCAAAACATTCAGTTTGTCAAATTTGGTTTTATTTACTCTACTTATTTGAGAAAATTACTGAGTATTTACTATGTGCCAATCATTACACTGAACTCGGGCTATACCAAGATGATTAAACCTCCAATCCTGCCCTCAAGGAGAGTCAAGTGCAACCAGTACGACCGTCCAGGCGTTCGAGCAGTTAGAATGTCTCTTTGCTGCTCTGTGGCAGCCTCTTTGTCCTAGCCGAGGCCATTGTCCTAGCTCTGTCAAAGTAATGGTTAAGCAACCCATTTTTTTCTTTGCTATTTTTACATAATTGTTTTAAAATTCTTACATTGTCTTTTGTATTTGTCTTTTCACTTTACAAAAGTTGTCCTAATGCTCCTGCAATCTTTTCTATTTCCACTTTGAGGTTTATTGCAAAAATACAGGAAGAGAAAAATGTAAGGGAAAAGAAGAGAGAACATATTTCCTGCATGATTTTCAAGACTCAAGAACTTTCCTCTCTCTTTTAACATTCCTAGAAAGTAAATGTAAGCAGTTAAGTAAATGGAATGTACAAGCGAAATTGGAAAGTAAATGCTGAAAATGAAAAAAAAAGCAGTGACATCTTCTCTATCTAAACCACAAAATGTCACTTAACTACACAAGTCAGGGATTCAGAGCTCTACAGAGTGACAGGTTTCAAACCAGCCCATGTGAGACAGTTGCAGCTGCAGACAGGTCCAGAGGAGGGCAGCTGGCTCTTCAAGGCAGGCCGTTACCTAAAGGGCTAGTTTTCAGCTTTGCTAAATCAGAGAATCTAGTCATTTATTTACCTATTTTTCTGTTTACTTTTTTCACTATCCACAGAGATGATCAGATTCCAAGGATTTAATCATACCAACTCACACTCAAAAGAGACTGGCTTACAGACTGGATGGCCATTTTATTAATGTGTGGGAGGTCAGCAATTACCTGAAGGCTAATAGACGTGAGTCATGTGGACAGGGCACTCCCTGTCACGTGAACACATGCTCCTGTTCACATAAGAGATGAGATTAGATATAAAAATCTTTATTAGGGAGCTGAGAATTCAAGGAAGGGAAGCAGATTGTTTCAGGGAAACTTCTATCCAGTTCCCATAGTCGGACAGCTAGTTTTCTCCATTGTGGTAACAGCTAACAGATGATGAGTGCTTGTTTTGTCCAGGCATCATTGTAGGTACGTTATGTCATCCAATCTTCACAACAACCCAATGAAATAGATATGATTGTCATTTCCATGTAACAGAGGAGAAAGCTAAGGTGCCCAAAATCACACAACCAGTGCTGGCTGGAGCTGTGACATGGCCCCAGGCATAGCCCCAGAGTCCACATCCTAGCCACTAGATTGGGCTGTCTCCTCCAACAACGTTCTTCTTGTCTTAGATAAACACTTAGCAAGTTCTCACTCTCCAATTTCCATTTGTCTTCATCACCCAAAAGGACCATTCGCTGATTCCAGACACATTACAATACAAGTGAAGGGGCTATAGCGCCCTTTTCACTTGCTAAGTTCCAGTCCTGCCTTTCACATGACCTGTTTTGTTGAGCTCTACTGTTTGTTTGAAACTTCTTATTCCCATCTCAGATATTTGCGGAAATTATCCAGGAGGTTAAAGCATCCACTTAAAATTTATTCTTACTGTCTTTGTTTTTGGAAGACTATCATTTTCTGACACAGTCCCCTCAAATTTTAGGTCTACTCCCTCATTGGAACCTGTAGTCATTTTTGTACTTGCTATGGGACAGAGAGCCCTCTGTGTGCCTCCTCTGTGACAGACACCTTGCTAGACACTCGAAATATGGCACTGCTGTCCTCAGGGAGCTTACAGACTGTTAGGGTAGTCAAATGTTAAACAAATAATTAGATGGATTTCATAATTATAGGCATACAGAGTGTAGCTAAAGGAGAGTGCTTCAGGTTAATGAGGGGTAACGTGGAGGCAGAACAGTGTAGCGCTAAATACCACTTACAGAATAAATCAAGGCTTCCAGCAAGTTAAGTAACCTCTGTGAGTTTTCAGTTTCCACATCTGCAAAAATGTAAATAATTATAGTAATTATCTCATAGGGAAGCTGTGAAGATTAAGTGAAACAATGTCTGTAAAACACTTTGCTGAGAGCCTGTATAATTAAAGATTGCTGCCATTAATATTATTAAAAATAATCTGTATATTACAGATTCAATGAAGACATGTGATGATTAACTTTGAATGCAGCCCAATTATCCCGGAGTATGTGGTAGGATAGCACTTGTCAATGGAATATCTAAAGAGATGAGATAATCTGCATTACTGCATAATGACTGAGGCAGAGTTTTTACTGGGGAAGGTTGTATTTGGTAGAGAACAGAGAGAATCACACACAGGCAAACATGACCCTTTTAGGGAACCCAGCACCTAACAAAGTGCCTGGCAGACCGTAAGTGCACAGTAATTTATTTTTAACAAATCTTATCTGTGAAACAATGTCTTTGGTGAGTTTAAGACCAACTCAGGGGATATCTTTAAGATACATATACAGTTGAAATTTTTTAAAGAAAGAGGAAAAGTGTAAATAAGGAAAAAATAAGAAAAATCTCCTCTTTGTAAGCACTTTTATATTTCATGCTGACCTGGAAAAGCCAGCATTTATTGTATGAATGTGTCTTCCTTCTCTGACTTAATCTATACTTTTCTCCCCAGGAACGATCTAGGAGGTATGCAGACCATGTTATAATACTGTGTGGATACTGCATAGGCACCCATGGTTTGGCATCCCCCGTCTAGGCACTCATATCAATAAGTGCACATTTTTTGTTTTTTGTTTTGTTTTTGTGAGGAAGATCAGCCCTGAGCTAACATCCATGCCAATCCTCCTCACTTTTTGCTGAGGAAGACCAGCTCTGAGCTAACATCTATTGCCAATCCTCCTCCTTTTTTTCCCACCAAAGTCCCAGTAGATAGTTGCATGTCATAGTTGCACATCCTTCTAGTTGCTGTATGTGGGGCACGGCCTCAGCATGGCCAGAGAAGAGGTGCGTCAGTATCCACCTGGGATCCGAACCCGGGCCGCCAGTAGCAGAGTGAGTGCACTTAACCGCTCAACCACGGGGCCAGCCCTAAGTGCACATTTTTAATTGACTTCATTAAAAAAAGTAGAAAGGGAAAGGAAAGGACAAAAAATGGAAAAACCCAGAAAATGAAAGTTTCTATACTCACTATTTAAAAGGTACTCATTGCCCAAAGACCTCAGAACTTGCTGCGACGTCCCCTTCAGATAGTCTTGCAGAATCCTCCAGCTTCCCAATGGCCCTCCCAGTCTCTGTGCTGCTGGTCCTGGTGATGCTGTGCTCCAGCCCCGCCTGCCCTCTGGGCTGTGACCCGCCTCTGAGCCATGGCAATCAGGAAGCCTTCACACTTTTGAGTCAAATGGAGAGAATCTCCATTCGGTCGTGTCTGAAGGACAGGGCTGACTTCAGATTTCCGCAGATACTTGTGGACGGGCACCAGCTTGAAAAGACGCAAGCCGCAGCTGTCGTGCACGAGACGCTCCAGCAGATCTTCCACCTCTTCAGCACCAGCGGCTCTCCTGAGGCTTGGGATGACACCCTCCTGGACCAATTCCTCGTTGGACTTTATCAGCAGTTGGATGACCTGGAGACATGCTTGGGGAAGGAGACGAAGGTGCAACAATCACCCCTGGGAAGTGAGAACTCCAGGCTGGCTGTGAAGAGGTACTTCCACAGAATCAGTCTGTATCTGAAAGAGAAAGAGTACAGCGCCTGCGCCTGGGAGGTGGTCAGGGTGGAAATCAGAAGGTGCTTCCTCTTCATGAACAAGCTCACAGGAAAGCTCTGGAAATAAAGAAGACACTGAGTCTGAAAACAGTTCATCTGGCCAACTAAATGGCTATCTTCTAAGACTCAAAGTGAAATCTTCATCCCTATTTTTATGCCAGCTAAAAAATAAGTAACAGCCAATGTATGGGATTATCATAAAATTATATTGTGTTGTAAGTTACAAGAAGTTGTTTAGAACAGAGAAATGCACAATCCATTTGCTTTATCTGAAAAAACTTTTGTAAATTTATTTATTTAAATTATTTGAAATATTTATACTATTCATAGTATTTAAATATTTATTGTTCATAACACTTGTTTAGTATTATACTTTTTCCACAACTGCTGTTCATTTTTAAGTTATGGGAAATAAAAGCAATTTTTAAAAACCAATTTTGCTTGCGCAGACTTTTTGAATAAAAACCTCACCCTAAGCCTAATTCCACTAAGTAGCCTAAGCAAGGTTCCTGAGTGAAGAAGGAATAGGTGGAGCCCAGCACGGGTCATAGCACAGTGGACATCTTGAGGAGGGATTGAATACGATTCCCTAAGACATAGCTTAGAGGTTGAAGGGAGATCTGAGGACAAAAGCCCAGGGCATGGACACCATTACCCGCTTGGGGCCTCCAACAACTGGAGATGCTTCAAGGTTTAGCGAACCACATAAACCAAGAGAAATCAATCTAGACATGTGGACACTGGAGAGTCTTGGAGAAGGCTGAGGAAGGAAGGGTAAGTTTTCGACACTTGACGAGTCCTGATGTCTCATTTTTTATTCTTGTATTTCAAATATTTCAAGCACAGAATTGAAGGAAGTATCCCTCTAATCAAAATTAATTTAATCATAATGCACATTGAAATCTCCTTTTATTTTCCAAGATGGCTCCAGGTTTATTGTTCTATTTGTCTCTCAAAACTTTCCTTTGCCAATTAATTGTAATATTTTTTTATCATCACTATTCTTATTCAATTAACAAATATTGTTGGAGCTCCTACATTGTACTATATACTAGGTGGGATGCTAGGTGCTAGAGTACAAAGTTGAATAAGATTTTACCCTGTACTCAAGTTGTTTATAGTCTTCTAGACAGCTGGCCTAAGGAGAAGAAAAGTGAGGTTAGCAAGTGGTATATCTCTGAAAAATAAAGAGAATGGACACACTAGCACCTCTCAGACTCAGAATCATTAGTATTCAATCTGAAAATGGATTATGATTAGTGTATGGCAGAATTTTGTGTCAAGTCCTGATTAGATGGGAGAAGATACCAGGAAGCAAATGACCATTCACCAAACTCTGAGGAGATATCAACGAATCCAAGGACAGGGGCCAGTAACTGCTAATACAGGTGACTGACGGTGACCACCCTATAAAAGTGAAGGATACGTGACATCCAAATTGGCAAGGAAGAAATAAAACTCTCTATTCACAAATTATGTGATCTTATTTTAGAAAATTCTAAAGAATCCACACACACAAAACTGTTAGAGCTAATAAACGTATTCAGCAAAGTTGCAAGATATGAGATCAACATGCAAAAACTGCTTTGTAGTTCTGTAAACAAACAATGAACAATCCAAAAGGGAAATTAAGAAAAAATATTCCTTTTACAGCCACATCAGAAAGAATCAAATTCTTAGGAATAAGTTTTACTAAGGAGGTACAAGATTGTAACAGAAAACTAGAAAACATTTCTAAAATAAATTAAAGAATACTGTATTAGTCAGCTCAAGCAGCCATAACAAGATATCACAGACTGGGTGGCTTAAACAACAGAAATTATTTTCTCGCAATTCTGGGAACTAGAAGTTCAAGAGCAAGGTGCAATTAGGATTGGATTCTGGTGAGGCCTCTCTTCCTGGCAGGTAGAGAGCCACCTTCTTGCTGTGTCTTCACATAGGTTTCCCTCTGTGAACACAGAGAGAGAGAGAGACCTCTGGTGTCTCTCCTCTTCTTCTAAGGACACCAGACCTATCAGCTTCCGGCCCCATCTCATTTAAATTTAATTACTTCCTCAAAGGCCCTATCTCCAAATACAGTCACTTTAGGGATTAGGGCTTCAACATATAAATTTTAGGGTGACACAATTCAGTCTATAACAAAGACCTAAATAAATGAAAGGACATCCCATATTTATGAATTGAAAGATTTAAGATTATTTAGATGGCAGTACTGCCCAAAGCAATCTACAGCTTCAATGAAATCCCTCACTAAATCCCAATGGCCAGTTTTGCAGAAATAGAAAAGCCAATCCTAAAATTCATGTGGAATTGCAAGGGACTCCAATAGCCAAAACAATCTTAAAAAAATAACTGCAAAGTTGGAAGGTTCACATTCTTAATTTCAAAACATACTACAAACTACAGTTATCCAAACAGTGTGATACTGGCATAAAGATAGACAAATAGAATGGAATGGAATAGAATTGAGGATCCAGAAATAAACCTATACATCTATGGTCAATTGATTTTTGACAAGGGTACCAAGACCGTTCCATGGGGAAAGAGTGGTCTCTCCAACAAATGGTGCTAGAACAATTGGACATTCACATTGCAAAAGAATGAAGTTGGATCCCAACCTCATACCATATAGAAAAAAATCCAAAATGGATCAAAGGTCTAAGTGTAAAAACTAAGTCTATAACATTCTTGGAAGAAAACATAGGGATAAATCTCCATGTCCTTGGTTTTGCCAATGGAATCTTAGATAATACACTAAAAGTGTAAGCAGCAAAAGAAAAAAAGATAGGTAAATTGGACTTCAACAAAATTAAAAACTTTTGTGCATGAAAGGACACTATCAAGAAAGAGAAAAGGAAATCTATAGAATGGGATAAAATATTTGAAAATCATATATCCAACAAAGGTCTAGTATGCAGAATATATAAAGTACACTTACAAGTCAACGATAAAAAGGTAAACAAGTTACTTAAAAAATGGACAAAAGACCTGAATAGACATTCAAGATGGGCCCCTGAAGATACACAAATGACCAACAAAACCATGAAAAGATGCTCAATATCATTAATCATTAGGTAAATGCAAATAAAAACTACAATGAGATAGCACTTCACACCCACTAAGATGGTTGTAATCAAATAAATGGAAAATAACTCCAAGTGCTGGTGAGGATATAGAGAAATTGGAACCCTCATACATTGTTGGTGAGAATGTAAAATGTTTCAGCTTCTGTGGAAAATAGTTTGGTGGTTCTTCAGAAAGTTAAGCATAAAATTACCACATGATCCAGAATGGTATGGATCATATGGTAATTTTTTGTGGTATATAAATTTTTGTGGTATGAAAATGTTCACTTCTAGGTTATATACCACAAAAGAATTGAAAACAAATATTCAAACAAATACTTGTATACAAATGTTCTCAACAGCACTATTCTTAATAGCCAAAAAGTGGAAACCGTCCTAATGCCAATTGATGGATGAATGGGTAAACAAATGGTGGTATACCCATATAATGGAATATTATTCAGCCATAAAAAGGAATGAAGTACTGGTACATGCTGCAATGGGAATGGACCTTGAAACTATTATGCAAAATGATGGAAGCCAGACACAAAAGGTCACTAATTGTATGATTCCATTTATGTGAAACATCCAAAATAGGTAAATTCATAGAGACAGGAGGCAGACTGTGGTTGCCAAGGGCTGGGGGGATGAGGGAATGCAGAGTGACAATTGCTTAATGTGTATGAAGTTTCCATTTGGGGTGATAAAAAAGTTCTGGAACTGCATAGTGGTGATGGTTGCACAACACCGTGCAAGTACTAAATACCACAGAATTGTACACCTTAAAATGGTTGGTTGATCTAGATGATCTTTTATTACTCTAATCATTTCCCATGTTCATGTCTTCCCAAAAGATTTTAAGTTCGTTAAGGGCAGGGAAATACCAGATCCTTTTAACCCAAGTCACCTAGTCCAGACCTTTAACCAGAGGAACATTTAAATGATTGCTGAGTAATTGGTCCTTTTGAGTAGTTATCATGACCTCCCCTTACATAACATCTCATGCTGTTTGCAGGGCAGTGCACAGGGGTCTTAAAGATTGTTAATAGAAGTGAAACATTAAATCTATATATGTAGTAGTTGTCTTCACATAGTAATTGGTGTTATTATGACTACCTCATTATTTCTAATTTTCTCTAGCATGCTAGTCTTGTCTTCTCCTTTGGACATAGATTTCTTGCAAACAGGAACACTTCTTAGCCTCTTCCATGGTCTACTGCAGGTCCTTGGGCAAGTTACCTGAACTTTCTGTGGCTCAGTTTTCACGGCTGTATTATGGGGTTAATAACAATACTTAACCTCATAGACTCATGAGGTAATGAGTCATGGGTGCAAAATGCCTGGCACAAAGGAATCACTCAGATGTGAGATATTTGTTACTGTTGTTGTTGTTATTAACTGTGCACATAGTAGTTACTCAATAAATTATTATTCACCTCTGAGTTTGCTGTAGTAACTATATGAAGAAATTCAGATGCCTCTTGATCTTTTGTTAAAGCCTCTACATTTCAGGAGCTAGGGAGAAAGAACTGGTCAAAAATACAGAGAAGCTGAGTGGGAACCTACAATGTCTCAAAAGCCAAAGGACAAGACTTTGGGGGGACAAGAAGGTGTTAAAAGTCTTGCATAGATAACAAGAACAACAAAAAACACTCCAACCTCATTAAAAAATGGGCAAACAACTTGAACAGACATTTCTCCAATGAAGATGTACAAATGGCTAACAAAGACAAGAAAAGATACTCAACATCACTCAACATTAGGGAAATGCAAATCAAAACCACAGTGAGATACCACCTCACACTCATTGGGATGGCTACTATAACAAAAAAAAAAAGTGTTGGTGAGGATGTGGAGAAATTGGAACACTTGTGCTCTGTTGATGAAAATGTAAAATGGTGCAGCCACAATGGAAAAAAGTATGGCGCTTCCTCAAAAAATTAAAAATAGAATTACCCTATGACCCAGTAATTCCACTTCTGGGTATACACCCAAAATATTG